AACTCTGATTAATTATTATTATTTTGTTTTCGTTTTCGTTCACTACCAAATTCACATTCAGATTAAGGTAGTTTTTTTTTTTTTGAGAGAGATTAAGGTAGTTTTTAGAATGTGTTATTAGATAGGTGTTCATAAAACAAAACAAAATATCTAAAAACAATCCACATTGATTACATTTCTCTTTAGTTTGATAGTTAACTTTAGGGTTATTTATGGAAATATTTTTCCTCATCACTTTAATCCAAGATGTATCCTTATCATATTTCTTAACATTTGATATGTATCTGTGGGCCTAACCATAGTTAACTATTTGCTTTGTATTTATGGAACTATGATTATACTCATGGACACGTGTGAAGTGTTGAGAAGGTGGTGATTATACACATTGGATTAAAGTGATGAGTAAAAATGTTCTATGTTATTTATACCAAAATTAAACTAAAAAAATATCTTAAGTTCGAATCTCCTATTTCTATTAATTAAAAAAAAGAAGAAGTTATTTTGTTATATAGTTGATAGTTAAGTTAATAGATTGTCAATCAATATCCCATGTTTACTTACACTAATTTATGGTCTCATAACTCATAATTGTAGCATACGCAATAGGATGCAAATGGAATGTCCCTTTTGCTGCAATATGAAGTAACATTGCAGGAAATACGTATCAGATAATATCAACAAAGTTAGTCGAACTAGTGATGACATTGACAGGTTTCAATATTAATTAATTACTATGTATGCTTGTGCTATGAGAAAGCAATGGATTGGACGAGCCACACCCCCTACCCTAAGCATACTTACCACACTCAGCTGGTTGAGCAGATGATTATTTGGTTAACAAAATTGGTGCATAAATCAAATTGGATTTTTTTTAATAAAGAATGTTTGACAAATTGTTAGACTTGGATTGAATTATGGCAACACTGAAAATTTAAAAACAGTATAGATATTAGGTTTGGTTGGTGTGATTAGTACTTTCGTGAGTTCTGATTTATTTTGATAGTCCCACCAACCAGCTTCTCTCAATCCACCCCAAGAAACAAAATCATCTTATTTTTTTATAAATATCTCTCCCACTAATATTTCAAAATGAAATAATGAAAACAATACTTTGATGAAGGGTTATAGCCGCACTCTTTTTTTCTTTTCTTTTCTTTTCTTTCAAGAAAGACTGATTGTATCGTTTGCAAGAGAGTCTGACATGGTGCTACTGGCACCGCTCTTTCTATGTTGCGAACCATGTTCGGATTCTAAACTACTTTTGACAACCAAACCATTAGCAAAATGTCAACATTGCAATACCCAATTAGGTAAATAAATCTCTCCCAAACACTCCCGACTTTTAAAAGTGGGTGTTTGGCTAATTAGATACTCCAATGGTGGACATCTTGCTAATGGTCTGGTTCTCAAGCATAGTTTGTAATTCTAGCATGGTCGCAGCATAAATAGCAGCAGCGCCAGCAGCACAGGACAGACTCCACTGCAAAACGATACTCTCAGTACTTTATCGTTTTCTTTTCCTTCCATGGCAATGCAATAGGTCTGGTTTGTTGTATCATATCATTAGCCAATACGTGAAGCAATTACACCGCCGTGGACTTACTATGAAACAAACCCCAATTGGCCTCAGACCTTACCATTCATAAATGTGAAAATGTATCTGAAAACCCAACTTTCCTACACCACCACCAAAGTACACTTGGCTAGCTTAACATATACATACCAACCTTACTAGGAATTTGATGAGTTTTTAGCTACAACAATCACATAGTCTGCATGTGCACCCCTTGCCTGGACTAAGCACATATTTGTGCAAGTATCATAATAATCGCATTGCACATTGTTGGAAAAAGCAGGTTGGAGTAGGTCACAATTTCCAAATGAAACTGGATGGAAATGGAAACTTTGTAAACGATATCAACAACACCTTTTTATTTGGATTGTGTAACAACTCCAAAGCTTGATTTCTAGTACTAGTATTCTTATGGTATTTACACCAGCCATCTGAGATATTCCAGAGCAGTATTCATGGTCTGGATGTCCAAATTAACTAATCTAGACAAGTATTTGTTAAACAACCTGTAAGAATATTTTATAAATATTGTGTGGCCCACATGAAATGACCTATGTGGTAAATAAATTGTTTAATTGGTTTAATAAATATTATTCAGAATAATTATATTGGTCAAATAAAGAGAAGTAGTTTCCTATTATTACCGTGATGGGTGGTAATTGATTATGGGCTTCACTAGGAAACGGGTCCTCTCTCTGCCTATAATAGTGCACATACCCATCTTATGTGTACACTGATGAAGACACGGATTAGGGTTTTCTAAACGTGCAAAAGGCCAGAGAGAGAAATCTATTTCCTCCACACTGACGGCTCGCCTACGGATCGCTCAAGGCAAATATCTTGATATGGTAGAAGACTAATCATTCAAGGTATGTATGTAATTTAAGTCTAATTGAATTTCCGCATAATGTTATTGTGAAAATCATGAAGTTCAAGATCTCGGGTCATGTATTGGGTTCTTATGGTTTTGCCCAATATTAAGTTTACACAACCATCTTAAAAATAAGATTTGTTAAATATTAGGTTATCAAATTCTCTACGAAACTCTCATTAACAACCTTTCCTTCAAACGCATTCAAACGTCCCCATTTCACGAACAATCTTTCTCGGTGAAAAAGATGCTGATACTTGGGAATTAGTTAAGCTTTTGTCTTTCTTAATTGTATCTGTCTTAAGTTCTTTCTTTTTTATTGACAATTTGCATCTGTTTAATGTCACTTTCCACTTCACTACGATATCTGCGAAATGGGAAATATCATCTAGTACGTACAAGGACTTCCAAAGTTCATTGCCTGAAAGTTTTGGCTTTTTCTGTATGATTATTTTTTTATTTTATTGAGGAATCTATATGATAATCTTTAGAACTTGACATTGATAATAATTAGGTGAGTTTTTGTTATCCTTTATTTGCTTTCTCATCTGGATTTGTACATAAGTCCTATTTATTTGATAAAATAGACTGTATAGTTAAGCATGATGATCAAATCATTGTATAGTTAACCACAACCATGATCTGATGATCATGCTTAACTATACAATCTATTTTATCATGCCTAACTATACCAATCAAACGATAACATCCTCAATCTTATTATGGGAGCCAAAACTTTTCATATAAATTGTTAAATGTCGTACAAGTAATTGCCCACCTTTTTTTTAAAGAGATATTTAGCTATATACCTATTCTTAGCTAAACTTAAGTTGAATAAAAAGGAAAGAGAAAAAAAAAAACCCTAACCTTATATTTCCTGCCACGTTTTTTTATTAGGGAAGTAATTGTTTGTTTCATGCTACTTCCCTTATATTTTCTTTTCCTTGAAGAAAAAGGAAAAAAAAAAAAAAACAACCGTAACCTTTTCTTCTTTTTTACCCTGCAGGTTTTTTCTATTCCAGTCAGTTAGCAACAGGAGGCTAAAACTTGCGGCACCAAATCATCAACAAATATTCTTATTTCTGAAAGAAGAATGGCTGGAACTGGAACTGAGGGGAAGAGAATCCTGGGTAGTTCCTAGCTTGGAAGGAACAGTTTCTTTACGAAATGTTTCTTCATGGTGGGCTTGGATCAATGAAGACTTGTGGTGAATGAGAGCACAGGACATATTTTTCATCCTCAGTTATAGTGAAAAAGCCCGATTTCCTTAGAGACTCATGGCCATTTGGTTGAAAGACAAGTGTGCAGTGAAGCAGCAAAAACGAGGACATGGGATTTTGAATGATTGAGGAAATGGCATTTTTATTTGTAGGGAGACTACATACATGGCATTTTGATTGATTAAAAGGGAAGTGTGCAAATAAGTGGGAGGACCCTTTTTTTTTATATTTATTTATTTATTTTATTAATATTTATTTATTGTCCTGCAAGTATCCTTTAAACTTATTATTATTATTAAATAAGCAAACACGAACTTAATTTGTCCACGTTATTAATTGTTGCACAAATAAGGGACAGCAACCAAAACTTGAGTTGAATTAAAAATCTTATTTAATTATTGATTAATTGTTTGTTTCCTAGCTAAACACGACTTCCATTCCAACTATCTTATTCCTCTTGCTGAACGAGATTCTCATTCTCTTTTCCAAGCCGAGATGGAGCCATCTCTGGAACCCAGAAGCGAAGCTATCCCTTCTTCACTTTCTTCCCCTCAAGAAAAAGATAAAAACCCTAGCCTTTTTTCTATTCCCGTAAGCAAAACGATCACAGTGTATGAAGACACCAAATCATCAACAAATATTCTTATTTCTAGACGAAGAGTCGCTGGGATTGAGACAAAGGAAATCCTTGGCAGTTGCTGGTTTGGAGGAAACTTTTTAACCGGATGCATTGATCATCTATTAATTTTGATACCACATCTTTTAATATTTTCGATAAAAGGTACCCATTGTTGATTTGTTCTTTCAATTTAATTTACTTGAACATTGAACATCAATTGTGATACTTGTTTGTGTCTTTGTTTTTGGTAAATACTACGATTTTGTATCAATAATAACATGAATCTTTAGGTACAACGAGAATAAAATTCATAATATATATACTGAGAGAGTTTTAGTTGAAAGATTCTTCAAATAAGTTTATTTGAGCGACACTTTTGTAAGGCCCACCACACATTGTATTTCAATGATCGAAACTGTCTATTTGTTTTGATATTCCATTAAAGATCTTCTCAGCAAAAAATCATTTGACCACTCAATTTGATGGTTTTTATTACAGTCTTTTCTTGAAGCACTTTGTTCGTCTATTTTGTTGGTCCTAATAGTATCCTTCAAATAAACTAATTTGAGGCATCCCTCAACTGAAGCTCTATATATACTTTTATGTATAAGTAAAGAGTTAGATACTTATATTTAAAGTTGTTACTAAAATTGTTTGTTTGATGAATAATTAGGGTTGGCGAAGCTGAGGGCTAAGAGAAACGAGCATTCACCCTTAATGGACTTACCCAGGGATATCATCCTCGATGTTCTTACTAGACTTCCGGTAAAATCACTTTCTGAGATGCGTTGCACATCTAAGACCTCTTTAAACATAATTGATAATCCATTTTTTGCGACATTGCACACTTCACGTTTGCTTAATTCTGCTGTCAATTCTACTACTGCTGGTGAAGTACAACTTATGCTTCTTGCTCATTCCTGGTCCTCTCGGGATAATAAGTTCTTAACAGCCTTGCAATCATTGAAATACAATGACAAGAATGGATTGACAAAAACCAGAGGTTGCAGAGCAAATATTTTATCTGGAGTTGGTGATTATAACGTAGATTTTGTTTTTTGCAACTTGATTTGCCTTAAACAGCTGACGGGGGCATTTAAAGCTCCATGCTTATTGATCAATCCTCTTAGAGGAGGAGAATTTCTTGAGCTCCCAATTAATGACCTCATTCCACCATATGCTAGAAGGTGGTACGGCATAGGATTTGACAGTATAACTAGCACTCACAAGATTGTTGGTGTTTTCAAAAGTATGCTACACAAACACCAGGTGGCTTATGTTTATACCTTGGGCACAAGGTCATCGTCATGGCGAGAAATACACTCAGTTCCCCAATGTGAGTTTAGTAGAAAGAATGTATTTGCATATGGAGACATGCATTGGTTGGTTTATAATGATGTGGCTGGAAGAAACCCTAATCGTATTATTTCTTTTGATTCCAAGAAAGATGAATTTGTTTCGACCCCTTATCCTAATTCATCACAAGGTTTTATTCGTGGTTTGCTAGTCATTCACTTGCTTAACTTGAGAGGATGTTTGGCCATTGTGTCATCTGGGAATTTGTTTGTTGAGATATGGGTGCTAAAAAATTATGAGAAAAAGGAGTGGGCATTAGATTACAAAATTGACAACGAAATGTTGCCTAATGGTTCTCCGCTAAATTCAATTGAGTCTTGTGGTGAATTGGAGCACGGGATATTTTTCACTGAAATGAAAGATCCTCTTATGTTTTACTTCTGGGACATAAGATATAAATCCATAAAATATATCACAGGTGCTAAATTATTCCCAGACATGTTCAGTTATGATAATCTATATTATCATCTTTGGGGTAGGAGGCGGCAGTGGCGACCCTTTATAAGCATCTTCAGTTGTACTAGAGGCTTGATTTCCTTAAAGACTTATGGCAATTTAGTTGAAAGACGAGTGTGCAGGTGGACAATTTTTGAAGCAGCAAAAACGAGGACATGGCATTTTGATTGATCAAAAGAGAAGTGTGTGAGTAAGTTGGAGTTGCAACTTTTTTGTTGCTTTAATTTCAGCCAAGGGGTAACTTTGAGTTAGCAGGGATCGATGTAGATGAAATATGATATTGCTATATTCATGTGAATTCCAGAATCAACCATAGCATACATGTTACTTGTGTAGCAAGATGCTTTGATGAAGGCTATGCCATACATTGAACATGTTACTTGTGTAGCGAGAAAGATTTCTAGGCTTGGCTTATATTCAAGTTATTTTGAAGTTGTCCTATTATCAATAACTGAAGGACCCAAAGAATATTCAAGTTATTTTTGTTTTGTGTGAAAGTTAAACTTTTTATATGCTATTTTGTATGAGTCCATAACATTGATGCCTGTATGCATACTTATCTCTGATATCTCTCACTGGGTTACCAGTGGGCTCAAGAGAAGAACGTAAACCATATTTTCATTCAAATTACAAAAATCCAAATATTCAGATTTGATGAACAATCTAACAAAAAATATATTAAAATAAAGAAACATACCTAGCTACATACAAGACCAACATATATATAAAGGTAGATGTAGAGAATGGTGAAACATTCAAAATACTGAAAATTGTTTTTAATTAATAAATTTATTAAGCATTGAAACTTTTCATTAAATAAAAATAATATAATAAATTAACTTCTTTTTTTTCAGATTAAAAAATTTAAAATAAGAACATGGTCCTATTTTCATTGGAAAAAACCTCTCTCTCTCTCTCTCTCTCTCTCTCTCTCTCTATTTGTTGTTTTTTGGTTGGATTATCTTTCTTAATTCTAAAGTATAAAAAAAACAAAAAAAACAAAAAAAAAACAAATTGGCACACACGTTAGCGTATGCTAAGGGACTAGTTAGATATTATCTCAGTACTGGGTATTTAAGCTACATTGCACACCCCGCGTCTACTTAATTCGTCTGGTACCAACTATGCCGCGGCTGTTGAAGTACCTCAACTTATGCTTCGTGCTCAGTCTTGGTCCTCTCGGGCCAAACGTTCAACAACCTTGCAATAATTGAAATACAGCGGCGAGCTCGGCTTGACAAAAAGCAAACATTGGCATGCAAAGATTTTATCAGAGTATGGTAATTACCAAGTAGATTTTGTTTTCTGTAACTTGGTTTGCTTTAAACATGAGATAAGGACCTTTGGATTATTGCTCAATCCTCTTAGAGGACAAGTTCTAGAGCTCCCAAAGAATCACCTCCTTCCAACCTATGGTAAAAAGTGGTACGGCATGGGATTTGACAGTATAACTTGCACTCACAAGATTGTTTGTATTTCTGAAATTGAACCATACAAATACTTGATACACAGACATCGTGATGTATTGGTGGCTTATGTTTATACATTGGGAGCAAGATCATCATCGTGGCAAGAAATACACTCAGTTCCCCAATGTGAGTTTAGTAGTAAGAATGTATCCGCATATGGAGACATGCATTGGTTGATTGACCGTGATGTGGTTGGAGAAAACCCAAATTATATCATTTCTTTTGATTTCAAGAAAGATGAATTCGTTTGGAATCCTTATCCTAATTCATCACAAGGTTTGTATGTGGTTCGCATGACATGCATTTGCTTAATTTGGGAGGATGTTTGGCCATTGTGTCATCTGGGCATTTGTCTATTGAGATATGGGTGTTAAAAAATTATGAAAAGAAAGAGTGGGCGCTAGATTTCAAAAGGGCAATGATTTCCCCACTCCTATTTTTTCCACTTACACTCATTTTTTAGTTACAAAAAAGGAGTGTAAGTGGATAAAATATGAGAAAAAGGAGTAGGGAAATCACCACTCTTACAAAATTGACAACAAAATGTTTTTTGGACGCTCGCTTAGATCGATTGAGACTTGTGGTGAATGGGAGCACGACACATTTCTCACTGAAAAATATCCTCTAGTATTTTATTTTTGGGACATGAGATACAAATCCATGAGATACATAAATCATGAAACATTATTACCAGGCATCTTCAGTTATTATTATCATCTTCGGGGTACTACTCCTAAGCTGAAGCTGAGCATCCTCAGTTATACTAAAAGCTTGATTTCCTAGAGACTTATGGCAATTTGGTTGAAAGACGAGTGTGCAGTGAAACAGCAAAAACGAGGACATGGCATATTGAATGATTGAGGAAATGGCATTTTCATTTGTAGGGAGGGGAAGGGCATGGCATTTTGATTGATTAAAAGGGAAGTGTGCAAATAAGTGGGAGGAGCAATTTTGTAATTCCAGCATGGGTCATACACTCAGAGTCATAGATAGGAGCAGCGCCGTCAGCACATGACATACTCCTCTGTAACGGCTCATTGAATTAACTTTTGCATTAGAGCACTTCCACCTCCTTTTGCCATGGCAAAGGGAGGGGCCTATGCTCCAAAGCTTGATTTCTAGTAGTCTTATGGTATTTACTCCTAATATGTACTAAAATATTTGCTTGATGCTTCATTATTGGAGAACTACAACTGCTACAACTCCTAATATGTACTAAAATATTTGCTTGATGCTTCATTATTGAAGAACTACAACTGCTACAACTCCTAGGCAAACTTCATATCACAAAGGCTTAAAACTATTAAGTTTGCCGTTGCACAACAAACATATAGTCTGCATGTGCACCCCCTTGTCTGGACTAAGCCCATATTTGTGCAAGTATCATACTAATCACATTGCATGTTGTTGACAAAACAAGTAGGTTGGAGTAGGCTATAATTTCCAAATGAATGCAACTGGATGGAAATGGAAACTTTTAAACAATATTGTTGATGCTCTTTTTGGGAGGGTCAACTTAGATAAAGGTAGAATGGTGGATGATGGGTGAAGGTGAGGACCTTCAGTATGTGTGTGAAGATTTGGGCAAGCGATAAATATAAAGAAGAAGAGATATACGTGGTTCACCCTTAATGAATGGGCTACGTCCACGGAGAATTATGCTCTCATTATAATAATGTATGATTATATTTGTACATGGGGTTGCACCCAAATATAAAGATAAGAATGGAGAATCCCATGATTAAAGATAAAGCCCAGCCCAGAGATCTAGAGGAGAGAGTCCATTTCTCAGGGGAAAGTAGTCTTCTTTTATAGGCGAGGGGGAGTCTCCATCTCTTGTAGTTTTCTGATGTGGGACTCCTCTTGCTTTGCTTAGAGTTGTGACTTGTGGTAATGCTTCTTTGGCTAAGGTGATGACCTCTCAAAGCATGGCACGTGGATGATCTAGCCTAGCTAGTTGTTTGGTTAGTTACGGTACTGATAGTAGTCCCCTAAGTTCGCGAGTAAGAAAGTACTTCTTGATTGGGGACTTGTAATTTTAAGTGCACTGGCCGGGCAACACCACAATTTGTCTTCCAAGCTGTATAGTGCACTACCCATAGTCCCCCAAGTCCCCAGGTAAGAAGGACATTTGGAAGGGAGAGAACTTGGCACGAGGGTGCCGAAGGTGAAGGGGTTGTCGAAGGCACAAAGTTGCCGCAGGCGTAAGAATTACATGTCGCAAGGTGATGAGCCTAGGCATGAGGGTGACGAAAGTGACACAAAGCTTGCATGTTTGTAAGGCGATGTGCTTAGGGGTGCTGAAGGTGACACAAGGTGTGGCTAGACATAGGGGTGCCGAAGGCGACACAAAGCTTGCATGTCGCAAGGTAATGTGGTTAGGCACGGGGGTGTCGAAGGCACAAAGCTTGCATGTCGCAAGGCGATGTGGCTAGGCACGAGGGTGCCGAAGGTGACCCAAGATATGGTTAGGCACGGGGTTGCCGAAGGCGACACAAAGCTTGCATGTCGCAAGGCGATGTGGCTAGGCACGAGGGTGCCAAAGGCAACATAAGATGTGATTAGGCACGGAGGTGCCGAAAGTGACACAAAATTTGCATGTCACAAGACGATGTGGATAGGCACGAGGGTGCCGAAGGCAACACAAGATGTGGCTAGGCATGGGGGTGCTGAAGGCGACACAAAGCTTGTATGTCGCAAGGTGATGTGGCTAGGCACCCTTGTATGTCGCAAGGCGATGTGGCTAGGCACGGGGGTGCCGAAGGCACAAAGCTTGCATGTTGCAAGGCGATGTGGCTAGACACTAGGGTGCCAAAGGCGACACAAGATGTGGCTAGGCACGGGGGTGCCGAAGGCGCTTACATGTCGCAAGGCGATGTGGCTAGGGACGGGGTGCCAAAGGCGACACAAAGCTTGCATGTCGGAAGACAATATGGCTAGGCACGGGGGTGCCGAAGACACAAAGCTTGCATGTCGCAAAGTGATGTGGCTAGGCATGAAGGTGCCGAAGGCGACACAAGATGTGGTTATGCACGGGAGTGCCGAAGGCAATACAAAGTTTGCATGTTGTAAAGCGATGTGGCTAGGTAAGAGGGTGCCGAAGGCAACACAAGATATGACTAGGCACGGGGGTGCCGAAGGCAACACAAATATCACATCTTTTAAAGGAAACAGATATTCCAGAATACATCTAGCAATGGTGAATCAATGTCATCTCAAACTCAATGCCATTTCAATGAACAAAAAGAAAGTTTACTAATCGGATTTCCAGAATGCATCTAGCAGGGGAGAATCAATGTAATCTCAAACTCAATGCCATTTCAATGAACAAAAAAAAAGTTTACCAATCGGATTTCCAGAATACATCTAGCGGGGGTGAATCAATGTCATCTCAAACTCAATGCCATTTCAATGAACAAAAAGAAAGTTTACTAATCGGATTTCCAGAATACATCTAGCGGGGGTGAATCAATGTCATCTCAAACTCAATGCCATTTCAATGAACAAAAAGAAAGTTTACTAATCGAGTTCATATGACCGTTGTTTATTTGACAAATCCTATCTTATGCTTAATGAAGTGACCCAGATTGGAAAATCACTACACTAGAATTTGATATCTTAAAATTTATCAAATCTAGAGCAATATTAGGTTGTCTTCATGTATATATGTACCAATATGCCGTATATACCATGTGTACCACT